TTTGTCATTTTCAATCCCATGAACCTCCATCAATTTCTCAGTCCCTTCTTTTTACTTGTACTAGAAAACCCTGTTGAATTTTAACAAATTGAAATGTTCAAGAGTTTTTAATAAACCTTTTTTTTTTTTTAACTTCAATAGAAATTGAAGAAGAATAAAGATAGTTAACTTACCATATATTTTCGAGGGGGCAAGCAGTGGAAACCAAAGTTTGGAGAAAGAGAAATACATTTGGTGGAAAATTATTTGTTTCAAAAAGTAACAAAAATCATGTTTACCATATTATACATTTCTAAGGGGGCAAGAAGTGGAAACCAAAGTTTGGAGAAAGAGAAATACATTTGGTCGAAAATTATTTGTTCTAAAAAGTAGCAAAATCAATGTTGGACCTTTTATACAGAAGCCAAAAGTAACATAAGTTTTTCAATCCTCTCCGTTCATTACTTCCCTGCGACTGCTCATAAGTTTTCTTGATTACATTTTCTTTCTTGACTACATTTGTCAAGTAAATGTGGAAATTAACATGCAATTAATATGATGTTTGTATATGCCAATATGTAATATAAAAGTGGAAGAAATTTCAACTCAAAGTAGGAATCAATTTCTGGACAAAATAACAGTCCACAAATGAGGCAGTTGTAGAAATTTCAAATTAGAAAAGTAGCATAGAAATATCCACATGTAATGGGTAGGTAGGAATCTTTTTCCTAATTTCTCTACAATGGTGTATGGTTCCTCAATTACATTTTTATGAGGAAAATTCCTTGCACCGAGGTCTACCGGGTAAACTCATCACAATCAATTCAATTGCATCATCATTGCTACCTCAAAAATTAGTTTTGCCTTTAGTTTTAAATGTTACCCTATAAAATTAATAAACCATATTGACTTTAAGGGTCAACTTGCAAGTTTAACCTAGTTATCTTAACCTCTTTCATTTAGATTTCTCCTGGTAAGTCTTTTGCAAAATTTCCCACTCAAATACAGGTTGGTTTCACTTGATCTTCCCTCTAATTATGGGATAAAGCTTAAAGCACATACTTTGAATAGACTTGTTCAAAATCTAACCAAGATGAGACAACTTTTTTCTTGATCAAATGGCCATGTCTTTTGTTGATGATCCTTATACCTTCATGAATTTATCTCTTGTTTGAGGAATCAATAATGATAGCATGGATCTAAGTTAGCGAAGACTTTTATTTATAATATTTTCTTTCTTTGATACATAGATCCTTGGCCTTGTTCAAGTTTAGAAAAAAAAAAGGATCATAATGGAAATATTAAAAAGCCAAAAGAAGAAGAACACAACATTAAAATAACACCTTGAGAAAAAAATATCATAACCAGCAACTAATTTTTTTATAAATCATATATATCTACAATTAAGTTTTTATTTTAAAAGTTTTTTAGCAAGTATAAGTCTAGAATGAGAATGAGAATTGCAATAAACCGAGAACTGAATTAAAAATTTAGAAATGTATCTTATTAAATATTGATATTTATATTTAAAAATTGATTATGCATTCACAATGATATCTATTTCCAAAAGCAACTATTAACCATATATTTTTAAATTTTTAATTAAATAAAATGAGGTAATATAATGTTAAGACTCCAATTTATTTTAGGGTTGGAACTGATATATATTTTTTCCATATATATTAGAATAGTATACATCAATTTAAAGCCCAAATAAAAAGGGAACTGATTTTTTTACAAGCTTTTTGTCTCATTTTTTTGTACAACATGACATGCCATTAAATTTATTAGTTCTTTTAATTTATGTGGGACTTGTGATATTGAATAAATCCACTCATTTAATGATATGTGGAAGTTGTATAAAAAAATGAAACAAAAAGGTTGTCCCTACAGCACCACCCAAATAAAAATTGGAATAGTAACTTTAAATGATGTTATTGCATTTAATTAAAATCTAATTTAAAATTTAAAAATCTATCTTATTAAATATTAATATTTAAATTTAAAAAGTAATTATATTAAAATATATAATCGATTTTTCAAATTTAAATATCAATAATTAATAGAGTGAATTTTT